CCCCCCCCCCCCCCCCCCCCATCCCGAAATCCGGAGCCCAGGGCACTCCAAGAGCTCCATGTGGTGATTTGGCAATCCGTGACACCCTGGCAGAGCCTTGGCTTTCTAGGATCTGGCCAAAAGGTTCCTTTCAAAGGGCTCGTCTTAGGGTTCTTGTTCCTAAAACAGTTTAGGGGTTTAGGGTTCAGGGTTTCTGCAAACGGGCTCCTTTACGGATTCTGTTCCTTTAGCAATTTATGGGTTAGGGTTCCCTGACAAGGCTTTGTATAAGGTTTCGTCAGGGTTCTATTGAGAAGAGCCTTGGCACGGGCTATCAAAGGGTTTCTTTCAATTGGCTCCGGTAAGGATTCCTTTCCTAGGGCTCCTCTGAGGGTTCCTTTCAAAGGACCCCTTTGAAGGTTGCTTTAAACTGGCTCCAAAGGGGTTTCTTTCAAACGACTCCGTTAAGGGTTCCTTTAAAAGGGCTACTTTAAGTGTTTCTTTCAAACGGCTCCTTTAAGGGCTCCTTTCAAAGGGCTCCATTAAAAGGGCTTTATATAAGGTTCCCTTAAGGGTTCTATGAAGCGTAACCTTCTAATATCCCTGAGTTTAAGGAATATGACTGAAATTACAGTAGGATCCCCAACATGATTCAAGGCGGATTCCTTCGTTCCGGGATTTTCGAAGGTCTACTGGGCTTGGGTGGACGGCATTTAGGGAGAGACTGCTTTCAAGGCATACCTGTAGGCACCAAAAACCGACCGTTTTAAGGAGGTATATAATGAAACTGTCCGCCCACATCCCAGCCCCTCTTCCTCGCCAAGTCTCGAAAGCAATTAAGCACTCCCTTCTCAGATCTCTAGGTCCGACTCCAACGCATTGAATGAAAGCCATTACGGCAAAATCCTGAACACTTAGCTTCCTTCAGCCTGGTTCAGGGCATTATGTGGGTGGGAGCCTTTGTAAGACACACAAGTTCTTGAAACCTACTCTAATTTACTTATATTAGGGCACATACTGCTGGTTCCTAAACCCTTGTCGACCCTCTGGAAGCCCCTATAAACCCCATAAGAACCCTGTAATGCCTGCAGATACCCACCCAAAACAACTCCCAAAGAACCACCGTAAATCCCTTGCCAAAATATTACAGAAGCACTCTATTACCCTAAACCCCTTTGCCCTAATTATACCCTCAACCCTAAGCCCTAAACCTGAAGTCCTAAACCCTAAATCCGTTCTATGCAAATTTCGTACAGAACCACTCTATTACCCTAAACCCGAAACCCTAAATCCTAAATCCGTTCTATTCGGTGCTCTTCTGCCGTGCGGCTTGACATCCTCGAGCTCGCCAGTGCAGGCAAGGCCTGAGCCTGTCACTTTGCAGGGTTTCGATGACCTTTACAGGGGTCCTTTAAGGGTTCCTTTTGAAAGGGGTCTAGACGGCTACTACAAGGGATCTTTAAGGGTTTAGGGTTTCTAGAGACTCCAAAACCCCTTAAAAAGTAATTTACCTTAAGTTCATTATCGTAGGATCCAAAATTGATTTAGGGTATACTCCTTCATTAAAGGGGTTTTGGAGTCTCTGGGTTTCGATCGAAGGCTTCGAAGTAACCTTGGGGGTTCTAGGGTTCCTTTAGTGGGATCCTATAAGGGTATCATAGGGTTTAGGGTTTAGGATCTGGGGTTCCGGAGCGGGTTTGCGGTTTAGGGGTTTAGGGTTTAGGCTTTCGCGATTTCGGAGTTTAAGCGTTCCGAAAGGGTTCTATCAGGTTGAGGGAGGTCTGAAAGGGGTTAGAGTAATCAGCGAAAGCTTGCTGAAGACTGTCAAGACCTAATTCCAGGGCCTTCACAATTAGAATAGGCTTTAGTGCATGCTAACAAGTATATATCTATATAGGAACTATCAGGGGATATCATACATAGTTAGTCCGACCTCTATGTTTCATCGGTTTCAGGGGTCGATGTTTCCCTGGCTTGTTTTTCGTGGGCTGGACCGCCGGTCCTTTCGAGACTGAAAGTACCGTGATGGCAGTCATAAGAATGAGTTGGAGTAGTGACAGTGCAAATACAAGAATCTGCCCAAACCAAGAACTTGTTGAACCATCCTTGTATGTCATGTCGACCCCTGATGAATAAACGCCTTGTCTTTCGCGGCCCTGATATGTTGGGATCCTTCTCACAATCCTGGGTCTACTAATCGGGGGGCTGCATTCGCAAAAGGTCTGAAGAAAAGCGAGTGCAAGCGGGAGAAAGCGAGAGAGAGAGAGAGAGATAGATAGAGAGAGAGAGAGAGAGAGATAGAGACCCTAAACTCTAAACTTTAAGCGCTAAGCTTTGAAAACCGTAAGGTTTAAGCCCTAACCTTTCAAAACCGTAAGGGTTGAAGCCCTAACCTTTGAAAACCGTAAGGGTTGAAGCCCTACCCTTTGAAAACCTTAAGTTTCTAAAGAAAGAGGATTGGTGCGGAACAACCTCGACCCTCCCCTTGGCCTGATGCCTGCCTGGCAATGCGCCGCTTTCGAAAGCAAAGACCTGCCAGCTGCGGACGCTTTGTTTCGGGTTTAGCGTTTTCGGGGTTTAGGGGTTAGGGGGTTTAGGGTTTAGGGGTTTAGGGTTCTAGGGTTTAGGGGGTTTAGGGTCTAGGGCTTAGGGCTAAGGGTCTAGGGTTTAGGGTTTAGGGCTTTCGGGTTTGTCAAAACTTCGCCTTTAAGTACAAAGTTAGGGCTTACAGTACAGGGTTTGAAGGGTTCAGGGGTATCAAAGGGTTTGTACAGATCATGTTGGCTTCGGGTGTAGGGCCATTTAATAGCCAGGGTTGCGGGCTGTCGGGTCTGAAAGCCTTATTGACGTATTGACCCTTTATAGAACCCCCAAAGAACTCTAAACCCTAAACCCAATCAGCCCTGTACCCGATAACACCTTCAACCCTGAACCCTACAATAAACCTTTGCCCCTAAGCCCCTAAACCAAAAGGTTTCCCTAGACCCTTTCATCCCTTTACCCCTAAAGCCCAAACTCTATACTATAAGGGGCCTCAATAATTACCTATATTTACCTATATTATTTTTTGGGGGATTCATAATATAATTATAGTATAATGGGCCCCAAAACCCTATTCTAATTGTTAAGGGCCCTACATTAAAGCCCGAACCCTATACTAGAAGGGGCCTCAATCATTACCTTTATTATTTTTTGGGGGATCCTTATTATAATTATAGTATAATTACTGGGCCCCGAACCCTATTCTAACTAGCAAGGGCCCTACATTAAAGCCCAAACCCTCTACCCTGATCCCTGCACCCCAGAGCCCCGGCGAGCCCCACACCTTGCTCGTTCGCCGGACCCCAAGAGCTCCACTGCTCGAGCTCACAGTTGCCTTCAGGGCTTGGTGCTTAGGGCTTTTAGGGTTTAGGGTTTAGGGTTTTAGGGTTTAGGGTTCTAGGGTTTAGGGTTTAGGGAGGTCCTTTTTTTGGGGGGCTCTTGTTCAGTTGTTAATTGCTTTACAGGGCTCTATTTCAGTACCTTTTTGTCTAGGGACTCTTTTTTCATGTTTGTCTTTTAAGGGCTCTTTTTCAAGGCTCAGGGCTGAGGGGTGTAAGCTTCACTGGGGTTACTATTACTCTACAATATCTTAAGGCTTACGGGATCCTGAAGTCCACTGGGGTTATTATACCCTTTATACCCTAAACCCAGGGATCTCGCGTCCTAAATTCTGGAACCCTAAGCCCTAAACCCTACGAGGGTACAGAAGGGATCTTAAAAGGGATTCGGAACCCTATCAGGGTACTCCAGGGATCTTCAAAGGGATTCGGTCCGGCTCTGCCTGAACTCCTCTGGGCCCTCACGGAGACGACTGTCTGGTGCTTAGTAGGGAATGGGGGGAAGGGATCCCTATGATAGTCCCTTAAGGTCCCTTATAGTAGTCCCTATAACCCATTCCCCCATTCCCTACTAAGCACCAGACAGTTCAAGAGCCCTCTTGGACCCCAGGGTCCCACCCTTGCGACTTCAGCTGGTAACAGTTTAGGGTTTGGGGTTTAGGGTTTGGGGTTTAGGGTTTAGGGACACATCATCATAAACAGAACTGTAGTATGCAGTATAATCCAATATGTAACCTAATATGACATAATATACTATCCCCTTGAATCCAATCCTTTCATACTAGCTACCATAAGGTTGCGATAGTCCCCAAACCGATAGTTTCACTGTTCCTAAGATACTAGACCAGCACCGGATGTTCTGACTCCATGTTCCATGGCTGGCTCTCCCTGATGTCAGGCACCTCCTCAGCCCTAAACCCTAAACTCTGTGAGGTTTCTGGACGAAGCTTTGAGCCCAGCGGCGGTCGCCATAGCTGCCACAGGGCGTGACTGCCTCGCAATCCTCGGCTTTTTTGGTAGGGGAGATCGGGTGTTCAGGGATGCTTCGGGTCTAGATCTCAGTGGCTATGAGTCCATGTGCCTGAAGTCTCAACACTTCGGCCTGCTCTCAACTCGCGACATGGCGAACGTAAACATCGCTTGAATGACAGCGGAGTCTTTGTATCGCTTTTCTGCGATGAGCGGCCCCATGAAATTTAGCAAACATGCGACTTCAAGGGGTTTCCGCACCACATGGACTGAAGATAAACAGACTCACGACAGGACCTTGACAACGGGAGGTGAAATGCGATGCTATCGACATGAAGTCCGAGTCTGGCTTTAGCGCATCCGGGCAACTTCCAGCTCGGCCAGTGCTCCATGGCATGGAACACCGACACCTGCGGCGTGATCGAACAGAAGGACTACCGTCTAGCTTATTCTTTTTATGTGTGTGTATGTAATTATGTATGCATGTACATATAAAGAACTGTGCAGTGTGTGTGTGTGTTGTCGCTGTGAGGGTGCCCTTGTCATGCGAGCTGCTAAATCGACGCTAGACGCTAACGGGGGACTTCAACAACAATAGACCCGACACGTTCAGCAGCGCTTGCACGAGGTCTCCGTGAGCAGTGTATCCAGTTCCCATCAACATGACACACGGCATGGCCCTCACCCTAAACCCTAAACCCCTCAACCCTAAACCTCTAAACCCTAAAGCCCAAAGCCCTAAACCCCTAAAGCCTTAGACCCTCCGATGTGAAACTGTCCCGAACCCTCGATCCAGCCTCTTTTGTGCTGGAGGATGCGGCGCTCACGTCTGTGAAGTCCTGGCGACCGTATATACCGTAGGGGCCTTAATAATTAGAATAAGGTTCCTTTAAAGGGATCCTTGAAGGGTTCTATAAGGGATGTATGATAGGGTTCTATATTACGGGCCTTAATAGTTAGAATGGGGGTTTGGGTCCTTAGTAGTAATCATACTAAGGAACCCCCAAAATAGTATTGGTAATTATTTAGGACCCTATATTACGGGCTTAGAGGGTTAGATGATGTGAGGCTAGCTGTACCTCGAGAACTCTAATCGTTAGTTGACTGTCCACCCGGACATCTCTTCTGAAATAGCTGTCACCCGGCGGAGGGCGGAATCCTATAGACAGGGGCCCTTATTTATCATTATCGAAACCCTAGGCCCGAAACCCTGACAAATGTCTAATGGAGCTCCTCGCCCGCAGGTCGCGCTGCAACCTGACCATTCCTGACCAGAGACGAAAGATTGACTTGGGTCCGACCCCTCCGAACGTAAGGCAACTGATCCTTTCAGGGCCTTACATATTTTTGTCTGCTTTGACAGAGCCCTGGCGTTTCAGAACATCGCAAGGCATCGACCTTAAGAATGTTCATAGGGTCTTTTTGGGGGCCTATATATGAAAGAACCCGAAGAGAAACCTTACCACTCACGTTTCAGGCATCTACAGTCCACTGTTGTTGCCTTGTAGTCTCTCTACACCCTCTTTATCACTCCGCTTTGCGGGATAAAAGAGCCTGTTCACTTGTGGTAACCCTTATGGTGATCCCGTTCATAACCCCAAACCCTCACAGCAATCCCGATCGTAATCGTAAACCGTAAACCCTGATAGTAATCCCCATCGCAACCCTAAGCCCTAAACCCTCAGAGTAGTCTCGGTCGTAATCTAAACCCTCAAAGCAATCCCGACGGCAACCCTCAATCCGAAACCCTCAGAGTAATCCCGATCGCAACCCTAAACCCTAACCCTCATCTCGTAACCCCTTCGTAGTAGCCCTAAACCCTAGACTCTTATTATCACTTCTGGTAGCCTTTCGAATCCCGATCGTAACTTCCTAGTAGCCTCCCTGTGCCCCCGGTCCCAGAGGGTCCTAGGCACTGTTATGGGGGATACTGTCCCAGATCATAGTAACAATTCCTAATATAGAAACCCTACAGTTACTATATATATATATATATATTTATTTATATTTATATATTTGTATACCTATATATACATATATATATATATATGTATATATATATATATATATATATATGTATATATACTTGTATATATATGTAACAGTTCCTAACATAGAAACCCTACAGCCTACTTGTATACGTACTTTGGACCCTTTCGGGGTTGGCCTCCCACATCCCCATCTCGCAGTCCACGTCCTTCGATGGCCCGTAGCATGCCTGGGCCGGGCTAGGAATGTTCGTGGGGTTGGGGGTTCAGGGTTTAAGGCCACTTTAGGGGTTTAGGATTTAGGATCTGGAGATCAGGATTTAGGATTTAGGGATTAGGGCTTTAGGGTTTAGGACAGAGGACCCACAAGTACCCGTTAATAGAGCCCTGATGGTCTCTAATGGTGGGTGTTTGGGGTAAAATAGAGGGTAGTTAGGAGTTCCCTTTAGATTTGCTGAGTTAAGGTTGTTACCATAATGGTTCTTGATTGTAGGGGTTTAGGGGTTTCGGGCTTCCAGGTTCAGGTCTCGGGCTCTTGGGCTTTCGGCGTTCGGGATTGCTTGCACCCGTGTTCATGCTTCGGGCCGTTTTGGGGTGTAGAGCGGGGTTAGGGGTTTAGGGGTTTTGGGTCTTGGGGTGTAGGGCGTGCTTAGGGTTTAGGGGCTGAAGTACGTGGTGCAGGTGCACTTGCCTCTCATTGCCTCATCACCCAGTTGCAGCAGGACCAACAAACCCGAATATACATTCTACAACCGTATACGCTTTACTACTTAAACTCCATAAAGAAAGCTTTTACCCCCCTGTAGACACCCAACAAAGGTCACAGAAAGCCCTTCATAATCTCCCGAAAGCCGTCATCAAAACCTGCAGAAACCCGCCACGAAGCCCCGAAACCCACATGAATCCGGAGCCCTCATAAGCCGTGTCGCTGTTGTCTCCTCTGTAGGCCCCGTGCAGGGCTGACCTCGAACAGCTAACACCGAACAGCTCCGAAAGCTCTAAACCCTAAGCAGAGGCTCAAGCAATGCTTCGCAGGGTCTTCATGAACTTCTATGGATTTGTCGATTTGCTTTATGGCTATGAACCATCTTGTGAAGGGTCAAAATACTTCTGTTATTAGAGGTCTTTCTCAAACGAGAATTTAAAAATCTATACGGCATGCCCTGACAGTCGACCCTAAGCCCTAAAATGTAATCCCCTGAGCTTCGGGTTCAAGACAGACAGATGTAGGCCCTGCGTGCCTAAATATTGCCCTTACTATAAGGAACCATGTGCCTAAATAGTATATATATATATATATGTAAATATCGCCCTTCTCGTCTCCGCCTAAACCCTACCTGTAGCCGAAAAGACCTTTTAGGGTGCCTTCTTCTGGTTTCGATATATCGTTCCTTAAAAAGGTAGGTCTATTCTCGGTTACAGGTAAACCCTACTACATTCATTCCCACCCTTCTCTTCTCCAGCCTCCGTTGATAGCGACTTGTGCGATGACTCGCTCCCTCCGTTTTTGTCCGCCATCGCCTGGCACATGGCTGTGCGAGATAACTCGAGGCAGAGATTGGCAGCGAACACAAGCTTCAACATAGGGCCTGAATAATTCGAATCATGTTCTGGTGTATATTATACTACAAGTATAAGAAGAACCTCCAAATTAGTATAGGCAATTATTTAGGCCCTATAGTACCCGATGTCAACATTGTCAAGCATCACAGAGCTTCATTACAGGCGAGATCTTGAGCTGCAGCAGATGGTTGAAGCCCCCGCTGACTGCATTTTTCCGTTCAGCCCACACAGCCTCGCAACTGTGCGAGGCTTTGTTGATTCGCGGCACGGCTATGCAAGCTGATGAACAAAAGCTTGAAAGCTGACCTGCGGCTCTGCCCTTGCAGAAAATCTGTCACTTGGTCACATCATACAATCATCAGCATAAGCCTGTAAGTCTGTAACCCAGAAATCCTCGAAGGACTGTCCTTCAAAACCCGAAACCCCCCATCGCGGGCCCCTTTGCCTGTGCAGCTCGCCTCATCCCACTCCGTCCAGGCGGCGAAGGAGCAACACTCCGGTCTCTCACACTCCTCCCGGCCGGGTTTAGGCTTAAGGGTAGCGTAGGATTTAGGGTTGCGAGTAGTTTAGGGTTCATAGCAGTTTAGGGTTTAGGGTAGTAGGGTAGTTTAGAGTTTAGAGTGGTGGTTTAGGGCGGAGGATTGCAGAGGTCAAGTGGGGTGCGAACTTCTCCCGAATTTGTGGCCGCTCCGTTCTGAGACTCAGCCTATCCTTCTTCCTTCTTCATGTTGCACTCTCTACTGCCACCAGATTTGCAAGGCTCCGGTGCCAAGCTACACTGCAAACACTCCGTGATGCCCCCGCCCCGAACCCTGAACCCCAAACCCTCGGCCCAGCATCCCCTGTCCCAAACTTAGCCAATCATCCCCCCACCAAGGTCTTTGATCCCTCCCGCCTTGGGGCAATGCTTCGTCATGACCAGGGGCCCATCGCAGGCCAGGCCCCCACATTTGTTCATCCTTGACAGCTGCAAGCAATGCTATGAACAACACTCTCACCTAAAGCTTCCTGGAGAATGCTCGTCTTTGGCAGCACAAACCGTCAAGAATCCAGAACAGCTTCAGATCCGAATCCGCAGTTGCAACTCGTAAACAGCGATGCATGCGAGTCCCTGGTGCGGCCAGGTAGCGTCGAGATCACACGATGCCGCTCGCAGAGCTGCGTGCAGCTGGCGGCACCCCACCTCAACGGACACCAACAACGGCTCTTCGAAATCCTAAACCCTGGACTGAGTATCAGCTCTGGCGCCAAACTTACATAGAAGTTGCTCTGGAAGTCCTAGCCTCAATCCCGAGGGCATGAGCCTCAACGCGTACTTACGGAAACGTACTACTTCAACCCTCCAGCCCAGGCTCAAATTTGGGGGCTGGGAGGGTTCACACCAGAGCCTTCACGGCTTCAAAGACGATGCTGCAGACCCCATGCAGGGCTTCATTATGAGTTACTCGTTAACTGAAGACCAACTAAGTTCCAAGTAAGCATTCCCAAAGGATCCGAAGTACCTACACAGTAGAAAATATTGTTTCTTTTATGGAATAAAAATGGAGATTCTTGTTGTAAGTATCCCACACATAAGTACTTAGGCCCCTTTGGGATGTTAAAACCTCGGGCTCCGAAAGGGACGAGGTGCTCGGACCACTTCCCAAAGACGCAGTCTTCCGGTTCGCAGGTCTCGCAGCTCTTGAAGGGGCATTCCTTGCATCGCAGTCTTGAGCCGATCCCAACAGCCGGCGGCCGTAAGTGTTAGAATAGGGTTTTGGGGTATAGAATACTATAGTCAAGATGAGGAACCCCAGAATAGCATAAGTATTCATACCCTGAACCCCAAACCCTGAACCCCAGAATAGCATAGGTATTCATTCAGGCCCCCTACAGTATCAGCGAGCCGTGTGGAGCAGCTCCATGCACGTCTCTGCCAAGCCTTAAGCCCGACACCCTAAACCCCTAACCCTAAACCCGACACCCTCACCCCTAAACCCTAGACCACGGATTAGGGTTTAGGGTTTCTAAATCTAAACCCTACACCCTAAACTTCTACAGGGTCTGCCAAGGCGCAAGGACGTCCACCTGCTGGCCGGAGCATGGAAGCGTCTTTTGGGCCATGAAGAAGGTGCCGGAGTTCCTGTGCAGGCTGAGGCCTTTAGGCTTTCGTGCCTTTAAGGCTCAGGGTTTAGGTTTAGGGTTATATTGTTTACCCTACAGGGTTAATTATTTACCCTACAGCGTTGAAGCCCCTTAAAGAGCTTTCTATAATTAACCCATCCCACACGCGATGACACCTTTCTGGGTGGGCTAAGTTCTGGGTTATCTGCTCGCTTTCGGGGCCGAATTCCAGCAGGCCACGCCTTCACAGTACCACGAACCGCCTTTGGGCTTCTCTATGGTCCCCATTGCAGTTCCGTTTATAGGACCCTAAACATGAACTAGGTTAAACCGTAAAAGGGATCTGCAACAGTGTCTACAGGTCAAGGCTTCGAAGCCAGGCTCTGAAGAGGCAAAGCTTCCGTAGAGCCACGGGGAGCTTTGAGAGGCAGCAAGAAGCCTTCTGAGTCTTCTGCATCTCTGCTGTATGGACTGTTTTCGGCCTGAAAGTCCAGAGCAACCCGGAACCTTAAAATCCTCAAAACCCTACACTAAACTTGTAAGCTCTGTAAACCTTACAAGTAAACCTCCCGAAAATAAGCTTCGATGTCATCAGTCCTGCTCCAACACCTCCAGCCCATGGCTCTGTTGGAGTCCTCGACGGGACCTGCAGGGCCATGATGGGCCCGGATCGGGCTCGCCGAAACAGCTTGGAGGTTCATGGGTAATCTCAGAAATTGAGGCATAAGTCCTATGGCGTGCTGGTCGTGATACGGGTTCTTCAGCAGCTCCATGGGCATTGCAAAGGCCTGCAAAGAGACGCAGGCAGCTTGAATGTAGGGTTTGGGGTTTAGGGTTTATTGATGCCAGAGGAGCCTGCATGTCGAGTTCCGCATGCTCATCGACGAGGATGTCACAAATGTGCATCGCTTCGCCGTACCTCAGATCGCTTTCAGCATGACTGAAGGGGGGGGTCCCAAGGTCAGTGCCAGAATCTTTGGACAGGCCCTGGTCATTGTCGGAGCAATGCTATACTTCATCTGGTAGGTTCATGGTCTCAGATAAAGCCCTTGCGCGTCTCTCACCACATCCAGCAAAGCTGCTGTACGCCGCGGATGTTGTGACGCTCTTTCGATCGCGACAGGATGTCTGTGCACTGGGCCTGAAGCAGAGTGCCGGACGGGAGGAGATCAAGCCCAAACCATGGGAAATTGTGGGCTGGCAAGGATAACCGCGTAATATATATATATATATATATATATATGTATACATATAGACGCCTGCATAATTCGAACAAGGCTTTGGCGGAGGTGGAGCATCACATTGATAAGGACCCTTCAAGGGAGGTAATTCAGGACCTGCACCTCAAAAGCTTCCTTCTCGCAAGCGACTCACGCAGCCTCCGTGGACATGGTCTTGATGCGGTAGGCCTTGTAGCGGAGCTTGTGGTCCTGGGCATCACATCACTAGCTTCCACGATATCAAAAAGTAGACACGCACAAAGCTCAGAACCCCTGGCATCTTTGGCCCTGAGCCTGCTTTCGGTCCAAGAGACATTCCAGCACTTTCCGACGCCCACGAGCTCGCTCTTGGCAGGCGGCTCCTGCACTCGCCAGTCGACCCGACTTCGCGACGCTGAAGCCCTAGTCCAAAACCCTGACTTTGCTCTCTTTGCAGCGCTGCTCTCTGTTTCTCCCTCCGTCGCCCATTGGAGTTGCAGGGCAGATCTGGAAGATCATGTTTGACTTTGCCAACCACCCCGAGCCTTTAAAGCAACCGCAGAAACACAATAGAAACACTTCCCTAAACTCGCAAAAATAGGCAAACTAATGGCCCAACACCTACAAGAAGGTTATGATGCTTCTTACTGTTGGGGTCCAGGTAAGCCCTAGGCGGCTCGACAGGCGTTGGAAGGATGCCGGATGCCTCGTTCAGGAAGACAAGTGAGCGCTGTCGCATCATTGTGGCCGTGCCTTGGACGCTCCCGGGTTTAGGGTCTCGGGTTTACCCTAAGTTGCCAAAGGGTCCTAGGTACTGCTATGGGGCATACTATAGAGGTACTCAGGACCCTTTGGGGGTTGTGGTGCTATAAGGGTATCAGAAGGTACTACTAGGGGTACTATGGGCTGTTCTCATATCAGGTACCCTGAGGTTAGGTCGGTTTTGGTTGAGGGTTCAGGGCTTAAGACCCTAAATGCAAATGAGTTGGGACTATGTACCTCTATGTCAAGATACAGGGAGGGTCCCTGTATGTACCAATAGTCTACAGTTTAGGCAGTTTAGGTTTGCTGTGAGAAGTATGGTGTTGATAAATCAGGCGACAGCATCCCGGCGATGACCCCCTAAACCCTGACACGCCTTAACCCTAAACCCTAAACCCTGACCCCCCCTAAACCAAAGCCTTATGACCCTTATGAGCCTGAAATTTCGGACTCGGAACCCTGAGCCCTAGAGACACCCTGAGCCCCCAAGAACCCTTAAACCCTTAAACCTGAAATTCGCAGCCCTGAACATAGCTAAATCCTAAGCCCCTAAACCCTAAACCCCGAAACCCTACATCAGACTAAACCCTAAACCCCGAAACCCTAAACCCCTAAATCCCTAAACAGCCAAAGTGCCACAGGTCGCGCTGCACGCCGCTAAGGAAGACCAGGACCCCCAACTACAGAAGCCATCCTCCTGGAGGGAGTCGCAGGGTTTAGGGTTTAAGGTTTAGGGTTTAGGGTTTAGGGTTTAGGGTTTAGGGCTTAAGGTTTAGGGTTTAGTTTGTTTTTTTTGAGGGCCTTTTCCTGCAGTACCGTGTCCGCAGGAGGGTTTAGGGTTTAGGGCCTTGGGTTTAGGGCTTAAGGTTTAGGGTTGAGGGTTTGCCAGGACCCCGCAGGTACCCTTTGATTAATAAAGCCCTGATGGCCCTAAACTGCAGTTATGTAGGGCCTACTAAGTAGGGTGCAGTATTGGGTTTAGGGTCCTCCTCGAGGGAGTCGGGTTGAGGCTCGAGGGTTTAGGGTTTCAGAGTATATCATTCTTTAACAACTGCTTGTGGATTAACTATCCGCAGGTTGTCGCGGTAAGCAAGCCTGCTTGCAACCCTTCACAAGCTCAGAAGCCTTCGTTGCCCACACGCCTTTCGGTCTCCACCCCTTCGAATACCTCTGAAATGCTTCTTGTAGTACCCTGTTAAAGAAAACTCTAAAACTCCCGAACACCGTCAATGAGCGTCAACCCCAACCCCAAACCCCTCTACAGTAACTGGCAACAACATCCCCAAAGAAGCCCCTCCCCTACCTGGACCCTAAAGGCCCTTTTGACTTAGTAAGTCTACTTAGTATCCCCCAGGAGCCCTATTATAATCCCCATAACCCACCTTACTAACCCTACTTACTAAGTCAAAAGGGCCTCCAAGTAACGGCCCTTTACCATTTCGGCCTCGCAGTGGCTGGTACATTTGCCAACCTCCTTGGCGACGCGCGGGTCGCAAAGCTTCCCGCACTCCTGGCAACAGGCTGGGGGAGGAGGGCGGTTGAGGTGAGGTTCTAGGGTAAACCAGCACCCCCGAAGTACCCTTCAATAAGGTCCTTGTGGTCCTTCGGTGTGGGTACTTAAGGTTTCATAGAGGGTAGTTGGGGGATGCTGGAAGGTCTTATTCTATAGGGCTTTCGACCCCTAGGGTTACGACAAGTGTAGGGACTGGGGGGGGGGGGTTCAAGTATAAGGGTTTTTTTGTGGTTAATAAGAGGTCGGAACCATTAGCAATAATATCCCTCCCACAGATTTATACTATAATGGGTCCCAAAACCTTATCAAGGCTCGGCTCCTAGAAGGCAGCAGTCTTCAGGATATCCTAGAAAGGGTGTAGTTTAGGGGATGTGGGATGCACAGGGTCTGGAGTTTCAGTTATGGGGGCTTTTATACGGGATTAAGATCGCATGCAGGGCGAGCCGTTTCGGAAACATTCGGGGTGTTACGATTTTGGATTGAGGGCCTTGGATGTTGGCTTTGATGGTTTATGTACTTGGAGGATCATGAGACTTAGTAATTAGGGTTATAAGTTCTAAGTAAGGTGACTATATTTCTATGTAATTATCACCTTTGTTAAGGTAGTCGTAACCTTACTTACTCAGTCCCCTGATACATAGGGTTTGGGTTTTAAGGATTGAGGGTTTGCAGGTCTAGGGGTTTAGTAGCACAGACCGCTGCAAGACCGTCGCATCACCTCCATTTCTTTAGTCTAAAGTCTAAAGCTTCTACACTGTGATTCTGTAATTCTTGCATGAAGATTTGGGTTGCCTGCAGGTTCTTGGCAGTCTGTCGGCTCACTATCTAGAATGTCGATCTGTGCATCTGCCAACACCTTTGCGGAGGCGTGCGTGCACATGCTGCGGCGAGAAGAAACACACCGATAGATGGCTTGCTAGACACGTGTAGGTTGCATAGGGTTCGTTTTGTGGCAGTCTCCATTCAGCCAGGAGTCGTTCGGCATCTTTAGTACCGCACGTTGTCGATACCGCTGGCCGCCACACTTGGAGCAGTCCTCCGAGATCGGGATTCATGAAGGGGCTTCATACTTAAATTGAGTTTTTTGGGGGGTATGATTTAATATAGTTGCAATAAGAAGGACTCCCTAGGAATAATATTAATATTAGTAATATTAGTATTATTCCTAGACATCCTTATTATTGTAGTGCTTATTCAGGTGTCTATACTGTCGGCTCGAAGGCTTGGAGGCCTGTGGCCAGACCAGGCTCTGCTATTCAAACCTTGGCTACACCTGGGCAGTTCTCTAAATTAGGCTCCCGTTTAGGCTCCTTTTTGCACAAGGGGCCGTAGTATTTTGAGGCCTGATTTAGAGAACTACCAATCTTGCTTTCGGCATTTGAGTGCTGAGCCTCGGGATCTGGGTGCTTGCCTTTGTTAAACCGAAGCACTCGCATGTTGGTCTCATGGGGTTCTTACTGGGAGCCTGGAATGGCTCTTGGGTATATAGGCTAACTCTTTCGGGGCTACCTTAGCGGAACTGTAGGAAACTCTACCTTAAGAACCCAAAACCTATGTAGGGTCCCTATAAATCCCATATTAGGGTTTATAATAAAAACCTAAGGTAGACGCTACACCCCAAACCCTGAACCCTAAACCTCCTCAAACAATGCAGCTCTCCGTTTGCCGCCGGGCAACACCCCAGTCCGACCAGGGGCCCCACTCACCTGGGCAGCAAGGATGTGGGAGTTTCCGAAAATAGGGTCCCCTAATATAGTACCCTAAATAGTAGGATCCTTATTATAAGGACCCCCAATATAAGGTACCCTAATTTTCGGAAACTCCCATGTACCTGTAGTCCCCACTGTAGCCCCTTTTCTCGGTTCCCTAGAAACACTGTACGGTGGATGCACCAGCAAGGTCTTCCAAAAAAGGAAACATGGAGCAAACTATCTGTATAGAGCCCGCTGAGAAATCCAGGTCCGGCAGACTCACCTTCGCACAATTTGCTGACATTGGGACTGTGTAATGTCCGGCGTGCATCCTATCTTCTCATATTGCTATACTACTATATTGTTATAGGCACATCCAGCTTTCTATCATGTATAAATAGATCTTATGTGTATATATATATATATATATATTATATACGTATATATATACACACATCTTCTATAAGTGCCAGGTCACAATCTTTGCAGACACGCTGGACGCAGTCGACGAAGCCGCAGCCTGCAGACGCAGTGGATGTTCAAAGGTCTGCAATGCGCTTCTGGCGGCGCCTGTTGCTTGCTGCAACAGTGGACTGACACTGTAATGCCCCACTGGTAGAGTATAGGCCACTTTATTATAGTTTCAATTCAAAACAACTGAAATAAATACAGTTTATCTGATATTTCTTATAAAGATGACTCTATTGCGGACAGTAAGGCTTCCGATTTCTGGTGTCTCGGACGCAGAGACTTCAGACAACACCGGCCTTGAATCTGCGCCAGCGGGCCGTCGCAAGGAGAGCCATCGTGGGAGTTCGGGGTACGGATGTGTCTGGCGCGCTCCTGCAAGAAGCATGGAGGGGGAGCTTTTCATGCAGGACTCATGGATCCGATACCTCACGATAGGGGCCTCAATAACTGGGATAGGGTCTTGGGAATAAACCCTAAGACCTAGCTGCAAGTAGCGGCTCGGCCAGGCCTGCATTCCGCCATCACAGGTCGCGCTGCACTCGCCCCACTCACCCCACCTGGGCCACTTAGTTCCTTCAGTCATAACCCCGGTTACTCAATCCCATCGCATGGTCCTGACAGCATGCAGAGACAGGAGGTTGATGCTGCTGTAGCCTAGACGCACCATCCTAAACCCCAAACCCTTTATAGACTGGTTTAGGGTTTAGGGGTTTAAGGTTATAAACCTTACCAAACCCTACAGAAGAGCCTTTTCCGGGGGCGGCTTCTTCCGAGGGGCGGGGAGAAGTCGCAGGGCCGCTTCGGCAGCGGTCCGCAGTGCGGAGCGGGCACCTCGCCTTGCGCAAAATGGCGTCTATAAGGGTTTAAAGTTTTGGGTAGGGTTTAGAGTTTAAGGTTTAGGGTAGCAGTCTACCTATGGGATCATTGCAGTGCCTTTTTATGGTTTATATTTAGGATCCGATTAGGTAGTAATCCCAAGAAGGAACTATTGAATTCCGTTTTTGAATGTTGCGAAATATAAGTATTGACATAGCTACAGCAGCGCTAGAAATGTAAGGCATCGCTTAAGGACCCCGCTAAAAAATCCAGCACACCTTCGCTCTGAGGTGGAAGTCTGTCACACCAGATTCGACAAGCAAGCTGCACCAAACCCTAAACCCCGAAAACCCTAAACATCGAAGATGCCAACACCCCCGAAACCCTAAACCGTAAAACCGTGAAGCCCGAAAGCCCCCCACCCCCAAGCAATTGCAACAGATCTCCACAAGGGCTGAGGCCCTAATATACGGGCCTTAATCATTACTTGTACTATTTTGGGTGTTCCTTTTTATAATGATAGCACGATATACTCAACAAAACCCTGTTCTAAGTACTAAGGCCCCTGCACTAGCCCCCAAAACAAGCCAGCTTTTTGGTTATGGTAGGATGATTTAGGCCCTAAGAAGTGCAACGTTACCTACCCAGCCCCTACCTCTCAGTTACGCTGAACTCCTCAAAAAAAAGCCTTTTCAGTACCCGTTATAGAAGCCCTTGCAGAAACCTATCAGGACCCCTAGTACAACCTCTTTGTGTTGACCCGCCCTAAACCCGATTACATACTAAACAAGTAGCCTTACGGAACCCTTTAACGGAACCAGCCCGATGGCCTGAGACGGGATTGCATGCAGAGATCTCCTCGAGAGATGCGAATCCGTCCACGTTCACCAGGCGGCGGGCAGTGTAGCCTCAGTTACTATGACCCAGAGAGTCCATATACACTAACATTATGGAATCAGGTCCCAAAAGACCATCCTTATTATGGTTTTGGGGACCTAATTCCATAATAGTAGTATATATGGACCCTCTTGGTAGGTCGACTAGAAGGGTGGGTATATGGGGGTTAAGACGACAGTTTTAAGGGTTGAGGTTCTTGGGCTTTTAGAATATGCACGGTTCCCTAGCACTTCTCTCAAGCAGCCCGAGCTCTGAGAACATCTTCCGATAGGTCCAGACAAGACCCAAGCACCCGGCCGCGGCTCCATCAGACTGTCATAGTCGGGGTGTAAGGTTTGGGGCCAGTTTTGGGACCCTCCCTAGACACGGCCCTAAACCCGAAACCCTAGAACCCTAAACCGGCCCACGGCCGCAAAACCCTCGAACCCTTACGGAACCCTTCAAAGACCCATTATCGGAGCACTACTCATATCTTAAGGCTCCTGTCGGCCCAACGGCGGCCTCTTGCCCATTGCACGCTGTAGGGCTAGAGTAACCCCTACAGACCCTAAACCCCAAGCCCTAAACCGAACCGCATAGTCAAACCGTATTCTTCTTAGTAAAAGATTTAACCCGCAACTTCCCAAACCTTCAACCCTACTCTCATCACTTCTTACTTCGCCCTATTCTGCTTCTGAAATTAAAGGCCCCAAGCCCCCTGTTGCCAAGAAGGCGCCCATCATCTCGTCCTCTTGGGGCATCCACCGAGCGGCCTAAGGTCTTCGTGTCTTTTTCTATCTCTGTTTACCCTCTCCGTAATCAACGTCAGAAGAGAAAGCGTAAGAACAATGGTAAGAACAATAACAAGAACAATAATCACACTAAAACGAACGATAATCTGAATCACACAGTCATGAACATACACCAAAGCATGCTCAGAATCATAACCGTAGTAATCATATATTAAGAATAAGAAACTGAAACTTGTGTGCATGGCGGCTCATAGAGCACAAGGTAACGGGGTCTTCAAGTAGGGCACCGAATGCTCTTAAGCAGGCAAGACAACCAGCGGGCAACAAAACGATATGCCCTAAACCCGAAATCCGAAACCGAAAATCCAAAACCCCAACAACCCTGAAATCACAAAGTCTAACCCGAAAGCCCTAAACCTAAAAGGAACATGTCGATGTGGCCGTGGCTTCCACGCCCCCTTGAGCTGCTCTCTCTTCATATTACTATTTGTATGCTAGAGACCCATAACCCTCTTCGTACGACAATGTGTTAGGGTTCGGGGCTTTGGCTTGCAGCTTCGTTCACGGCAAGAATACTGCTCATAAATACTGCCACTATCTTTAGTTGAACTTGTTAATTTGATTGGTTGACGGGTTGAAATTGAGCTGGGACGTATGTTGAGCCAAGCTTGCTTCCTCTGAAGCGACGCTGCCACAGGACTTGCCATCGCCCTTTGCAAACCTGCAGCAGCAAGGGTAAACACACCCGGAGGTGAGTTAGGATACTTTGAGGTGGTTACCGTTGGGACCGGGTGTTGCAAGAACCCGACAACAAGTCGTGATAAAAGCATTCGTTCGAAACAAACTTTATGCAAGATCCAAGGGTTCATGTGCGAAAAGTGCTTCGATAGCAAAGCATTCACATCACTTGCCTCTCCTTCCCTTTGGGAAGAGACATCGCCTGTTCAGATTCGTCTCTGCACATGGAGAAGCTGGCCTGACCTCAAGATAACATAGGAGCCGTGATACGCAGAATAGGGTTGGGGGATACATTAAAAACTAGCTGTAATCATGAGCCCTTTGGAATATCTATTGAACAAAAACAAAAACTGGTATTCATTCCGGCCTCTACATGGCACGGACACGAGACTAGCACCACCATGCCTCGTCGCTCCTTGAACTCATCATCTGGGTCTTGGAGTTCGGCTGGTTCAAGTATGTGTATATACATATAACCTCAGAACACTGCTAGAGATGACATGCACATGTAGTAACGAACCAATCTATTAGTATGCACGTGTATGCATGTTATGTATGTATGTATGTATGTATGTATGTATGTATGTATGTATGTATGTATATATATACATACACACATGAACATGTGCTACTAATCGTGCTGATCATGTTATCTTGCAGTAGTACTCGCACTGCGAGGCTGGAAGATCTCCACGCCTGAGGATTCGCCGATGTCTTTCCTTAACGCCAAAACAGTCGCAGCTGCAAGCAGACCTGGGCCGAATGCAAGAGTACGTACTTCAGAGTATCTAGCTGGCTGTACCTGCATATAATCAATGACAGATACACATTTATATGTGTGTGATATGAACATACATGTAGGTGTGTTATGTGTGTAGACTACGGGCGATATGCTGAAAACGGTTAACGGCCGGTGGATGTACTCCTGGTTGCACGGAGACTCTTGTTGCGGGAGTTACTGCATGTTGCAGCACAAGGCATCCTACAAGCAGGAAATTCTCCATCGATGAACATAAGAAGAAGTTCGGAGAAGTAAGCTTGCAGGAAACCGAACCCCAAACCCTAAACCCTAAAGACTAACAAGCCAGTTTGAAAGCGGCTCGGAAGCCTCCAGGTCATTACAGACTTCATCCGCAAAGGAATCCGCATACACGCCTTCCAGAACTCTGACCGGCCCCTTGCAGCAGAACCTCAATAAAAACATTCAGCCTTCAAGGAAGAGGCTTCATGGAACCTTGCAGTCACCTACCCAGTCGGCCTCAGCGTTAAAGTGTTGGTCCTAAGGAGAGAACTGTATAAAGCTTTAGCAGCAGGCTGTGAGTGTGTCTTCATAGCTCTATAGAAGCTGGTCAACCCTTCGATGGGGCCGTCTGGATGAAAGATCCCACATACATCCTCGTCTGCACGCAGCAATACGGAGCAAAATGGGAAGTCGGAAGATCCAAACCTGAGCCAAAAAGCCTAAACTCTGAATAACCCCCCGCAAAACTCGAAGGCTCCGGGTCCTTTCCAAGAAACCCAAAAACCTATGAACCTAAAACCTTTTTCACCCTCAGCACCACATCCGGCTCAAGCCACCATTCTGCCCACTCCGCCAGCTCGCAATCTTCCTGAGAAGGTCAGAACCTCTACCCACCAAAACACTGGGTTTTAGGGGGTTTTACGTTGACGTATGTCATGCTATGCTTATCATCATATAATGACCTATAGTCAGGTTTAGGGTTTCGGGGCCTCAAGAGTTCGACGAGGGTTTTGGGGTATATTATAATCACTACACGCATGAGAAGGAGCCCGAAGAGATAATCAAACCCCGGTTGGGGCTTCGGGTGTAGGTTCAGGCTTTGTAGAGTTCAGGGTTGGGATTCAGTTGTAGCTGCTTTTGTCCTCAGTAAGGGTAACGAAGTTGTTGTGATGGCGCTGAAGACAGCCTGGAAGTTGGCATGTTGAGGGGCACGCGACATTGAATCTGCGACCAGGTGGGCTTGTGCATGACTGCAGCATGATGTCGACAGTCGGCTTGGCGTGTCCGACAGCCAAGCCCTAAACATGCATGCCGACCCTTCGGTGGCTTCGGCAGCCAACTGGATCAGCTCCAAACAACCGGTTAAATACAATCCTCGACGTTGCACGTACAGAAGTACCTACAGCCCAGACCACTCGCTAGCCCCGGCCCTCTGCCAAGAGAGCGTCACTTGGGGTACAGGAGATGACATCGTTGCACATGTGGTACTCGTCCTCAAGGCCTTTGCCACGGATTCTCTGCACCATATCACGCAGGTAACCCCCTGCATGCACTGCATGCCGCTACGACCGAGACAAGTAGTTATGCTACTTCGCGATTGCTTCAGAAAAGGCTGATGCAGACTGCCACCATCAACATACAAAGAAGCATTGTGAGACACGAGTGTGCCCACACACATGCACACACTCAACCGCTTTTCGAGATTGGGAGACACGCTGCCTGGGCTGGGCTGCTACAAACTCCCCAACTTGGGGATGACAGGTGCAGCGTTGGCCAAATAACTTTAACGGCCTAAGAAAAGAACTGTCCTGTCTGCCCCAGCCCAATGCGAAGGCATACTTCCCTGGACCCTTCTACGATGCCCTGAGCCACGCCTATGGCAGGCTTCCCGCAGGTGTTTGGTCGCTGCATGACCTGAGGATAGTCGGACTGCTTTCATCGTTGTCGTTCGTACTAGTTAGTAATGAGTATAGTCTTAGTATCGGTGTTACCATTACTTAGATGTTGGCTAGTATTAGGTAGGTTTTGGTTGGTCTGACCTCTTCGTCTTCTTATTCTCATTCTCGTGCTACGTTTAATTCCAATACTGAGCACTGTGGCGGCGAAGGCAATACAAAACGTACCACAGTTCCGCCTACAGGCTCGACCATCCACAATCTCGGCACCACCCCTCCGTGAATCTCCAGTTCATGCGCATGAAGGCTCGGGGGTTCAACGAAGTGCAGAGGCAGGTGGAGGGCCCCGGCCGGCTCTAGCTTCCCGGCCCCCTGCCGAACGAAAAGGCTTTCCGAAGGCGCGCGTTCAACTTGAGCCGCTCTAAATCTGATCGTGTCCCTTTCCTCTCATGTTGCGGCATATTTTGTAGAGATAGGGTTAAAGAGGTGTGGAACAGTGACTGGTACAACGGCATTATGCAAACCACAGAGCCACAACCCAGCAACCCTTGACTCAAGCTATATCTGTTGGCTTCATTCAGATCCGTGATGACGTGCTGGACCACGTAGTTGTTCGATGTCTCGAGGCTTCGACAAAAACTCCGCAGGGCTCCGACCTCCCCAAAATCCTACAAATTTGAAGTCCGGCGACTTCAGAAGCATGACAGTGCAAACGTCAGAATGATCTTCCCCCCCCCCCCCCCCCCCCCGCCCCCACAAGAAGTACCATATAATTGCATCATCGGGACGTCACGGTGCCTCACGCGGAAAGCGCCGCCACAGGTAGCCGAGCACTTTGACCATTGGCCCCAAGCGCCCCACAAGCCATCCTTGGTCGCAAACCGGAGGCAAAACTGTCGAATCCGTAACCGTAACCGATACAGTAATGTAGGGGCCTTAATTTTAGAATAGGGTTTTGGGGNNGGTATATTATACCATAATTATAAGAAGGAGCCTCCCCAAAATAGTATTGGTAATTACTTAAGCCCCTATAGTAGGTGTCTTCAGCTGTCTTTGTCTGCAAGGAGTAGAAGGCTGCTCATGGGCTTGCTTGCGGAGATGACTCATGACGCCGCAGTCCCAACCCACAGGATGCGCTTCCGGATCCTGCCCAGTGGCCACGCACTGACCACAAGCTTGGGTGTTGCAAGCTGCGACCTGGAAGCACGAGGCCGGGCGTTTGGGGTTAAAGAAATGCTGAGACTCGTTGCTGCTTGCCATGGAACCCTTCTAGGAACCTGCTAAAATAAAACCTCCTTAGGAACCTTTCATAGGAACCCTTCTGGGAAACTTTGAGGAACCTTCATAGGAACCTGAAGCCATCTCAAACACCAAAAGCCAGTTCGTTCGAAGATTCGTCCGGCAAAGAGCCTCTAAGGAAGCTCTTTGCTTGCTGCTACTCTACCAGGAGAATATCCAGGTGTTGGGTTTAGGGTTTACAGTGAAGCCTAGAAAGTTAGAAACCGGATTAAGGACAATTAGTGCTGGGATTCCCTATACATGACTCTTAAGGATTGAGGCTATTGGGCTTCCAACTTTTGGGCTTCTACTATATGGGGCTTTGGGGTTTTTGGGGTTTGCAGGTTGGTTCCCAAAGGGCCCTCAGCACATATGTAGAAAGTAGGGGTTCTATAACAGGAATTACTATGATGTCTGGGGCAAAAATCGCCCGTATAGGTACTGAGGACCCTTTTGTGCTTTTGCGTGGTCATCATCCTGAAAGAAGATCCTCTACTCGGTGATGGATGCTATGTATTATAGCCTGAAACGTACCCAATACTATCCCGTGAGGTTCGTGCTATCAATATAGCATAATCTCCCCCCCTGCACCCTGGAGTCGTTTGCAAACGCCAGGTTCGACATCCGACGTCCGCCTCGGACTTGTCCAAGGCCTTGCAGAGCACGCCTCCGTGGCGAGGTGCCTGGAACGGAAGCTGCGAGTCTCATCCAGAGAACCCAATACCCCTTAATTAAGGAATATACCTTCAATCATAATATTAAGGCCCCTATAATTTAAGGTATATTCCTTAATTAAGGTGTGTTGGGTTCTCTGGGCATCTGTGGGAGGGAGCAACGGCATGGTTCATCTGGGACCCTCTAAGACTCTACATGTTGGCAGCTTTTCCAGGGACTCCCACGGAACCTAAAGACATCTAAAGACCATGAACTCTAAACCCTTGTAGAATTTGGAACCCTTACACCGTAAGTCGCCTTAAGCCACGTCTACTGAATCTACTTTTTGGAGTGTTCATACGGTTGAAGGTTGGGGCTAAACCCTTCAGCCAGGCCCATCCACCTGTCCGATGACCCGGCTTCGTCGCTTGGTACCACCGCCACAGGTGCCTTGGTGGGGGGGTGGGGGGAGTGGGGGGGCTGCGCGTTTACCTGAACCCCCAACTAACCTGCCTTTGTAGGGTGCCATCAACAGCTAAAACCTTCGAACCTCAAGGAACAACCCGACCCCACGGCCGCCAAGCAGAAACCCTCACCGAAAAGCTAAACCCTAAACCGTTTGAGACACTATAAACACCGAAAAGGTGAAACCCTAAAACCTCGAAGACCCCATAAGCGCCGACTCTGAGCCTAAAGACACCTAAGAGTTAAACCCGGATCTAAACGCTCACGCGGTCCTAAATCCTAAACCCTTAACCCCTAAAGCCTAAACCCCATACCTTTAACGACTTAACCCCGAAGCCCTAAACCCTGAAAGATCCCTTATAGACCCCTTTGAAGCTCCCCAAGTTTTCCGCAACTGAACTCGCCGTGCCCAGTGGCAGCTGCAGGCGCTCCACTGGTCCCACTCTGCCCACCTGATCACACTCTTTAAGATAGAAGCCTAAATAGTTACCAATAATATTATTTAGGGCTCCTTACTATAACCCTTAAGATAGAAGCTTAAATCATTACCCATATTATTCCTTAGGGTTCCTTACTATAACCCTTAAGATAGAATCCCTAAATAATTACCCATATTATGCCTTAGGGCTCCTTTACTATAACCCTTAAGATAGACTGCTAAATAGTTACCACTATTAGTCCTTAGGGTTCCTGAATATAACTATACAGGAACCCAAAACCCTATTCCAATTATTCAGGCCCCTACATTGCGGATTTAGGGGTGTAGGTAAGGTTGAGGGTTTTGGGGTTTAGGGTTTAGGAGTTTCGGTTTAGGGTTTAGGGCTTTAGGGACTTAGGGTTTAGGGAGTTTAGGATTGTTCTAAGAACAGCACAGGCGGCGATCATATCTCGCATTGAAACATATAACCTGATAACTATGGGTGTTTGTGGAGTTTAGGTTAAATATGTCCCTTGAAGTTGCCTTGTGCCCTGCATTCGCATATTATAAGCATACCCCCCAACACAACCTGTTCTGCCATTGGGATGCTTAACCAAGATGGGCTTCGTGCAGCTGGCACGAGCTGCCTCCGACACTTCCGGTGCTCAGGAGAACCTCATACATATTCAATGTATATATATATATACACATATACATATACATATATGCGTAAGTTACTTGTTTTCATTTTGTTTATGACTATGAATGAATGTGAATGTGCATATACAGAAAAGAGCTATGTATGTATACCTAAATATGTGTATATAGTCAGTGAATTACACAATATGCAGTATACAACTTAACATACAAGTACCATATGTTGTGGTATATGCGCAAGAGCGCAGGCATTCAACACCAAAGATGAAGGACGAAACCAAAACGCACAAAAACACTCTTCTGATGCAGTGCCAGTTATCGAGACTAACCGGAACCAATCAACCAAAAAGCACCAAAACAACAGAACCAACCAGTCAAACAACACAAAGTACGAAACACAACGTTTTTGTTTGTTTGGTCTCAGGCTGGGGGTTTCGAAGCCCCACGAGTACGAACCAACAAAGACGCACAACTACCAATGCAGTTCCGGCCTTCTCTGCGGATTTTGAACTTGTGGGTGGTTGTTGTCTTCGGTTGAGTGGTTAAAGCCAGCACCCATATCATATAACATTTGATGTGTAATGATTCATATCATTACATTTTCAGTGCCCAAGTATATCTATATCTATATCTATCTATATTTATTTTTTCTACGCACACATGTCTGTGTGTGTAGATACAACTCCCAAGCCCCTCCCGAGAGGAGCCTGCAGTCGACCTCACCGCAATGGCTGGTGACGCAGCCCTTGACCTCACAGAGGGTTTGGGGTTTAGGGTTTAGGGTTTGGGATGTAGGGTTGTAGGGTCACATCAAACTCTTTTGGGAGAAGTGGGGCGACCATGGGATCAGGGCCTCCTTGGAGTGAAGCTGTTATATGCATTGCGCTGTGGTTGGGTCCAGCTTCAGAGGCAAGGCACGGAATCGATATGACCAAAGTGAGGCTTTGGAGCATAGTCCCATGCTTGGGTGACAGGCAAACCTCGAACTCCAGAATCCCACAGAGCCTCCTAAACCCTAAACCCCCACGAATCCCATTTGGCCAAAAACCCTACACCCAATACCCTAGACCCGAAACTCCAAAGACTCCCACATGGCCTCTTGAAGCGCCATGCCCATGCCGAGGCCACCCGAGCCCTCGCGAAGGATCTTCCTGGAAGGACAAGGTGGGGGTTTCGGGTTTAGGGTTCAGGGTTGAAGCAGGAACTACCTCCGGTACTTATGGAGTTCCGATACTCCAAAAAAATACCAAAAATCCCAAAACCCTAAAGGCCTCCAATGCCTGGAAGCACTATGAAGCAGAACCCTCCCTGCAAGGCTTCTCGGAACCCTCCTGGAGCGCGACGTCGTGCCGAGGCCGCACTTCCTGGAGCACAAGCTCCACTCGGACCTGATGAGATCAGCGGCTACTTTCAGGGCTACCTATAACCTCCATTGTAGTTCCCTCTTTGGGTTTAACCGATTCTATATTAGGGTTTCTATAAGGTGACCCCGAAAAGGAACTACAATGGAGCCTATAGGTCCTATAGGTACTGTAAGGGATACTACTAAGGAGCCTATAGGAACGATATAGGGGTGACTGACATCCAGACTGCGCCTGCAGCGATGTTGAATGCTTCTGGCACGGTTTACGGTGTAGGGTTTAGTGTTTAGGGAACTTGCAAGGTTGGCATGTAGACATGCCGTAATCACTGGGCCTGGGATGTGTAGAAACGTTTCAGGGTTGTTGCTCACCTGGGGCCAAGGAAGAACCACAGCTGCCGCAAGCCTCCCTCAACACCTGCATGCTGACTTCTCTCAACCCCAAACCGTAAAACCCTGAACCCTTAAACCCTCAAACCCTAAACTCCAAAGCCTTGAATCCTAAGTCCTGCTTCTCTCATTCAGGCCCCTAAACCCTAAACCCAAATACTGTCAGGTGCCTCTGCCAATATCCCATATTGGCAGTAGCAATGCCACTCTAATGTTAAGTATTGGAGTTGTACTTAGATGTCCGGATGAGATGCTAGCCAAGCACCTTACACCGAAAAGCTCGCAACCTCGTGAACCGGGCCCAGCCGCCACTGCGAAAGCTCCGACTGCGAGGTCATCACGCAGTGCTGCTTTCCGCATGCCTGCGTTTCCTTCATGAACCTGAGGGCTGCTAAGGGCAGCTGATTCTGGGGAAGCTCGAAAAGGGTGCTTATAGTGACATGATAGCAACATACTTTAGCAATAGGAACACTGATAATGATGATGCTCATGATCTGGATAATGAGTGATAGTGGTAAACAACTATAAAGTAATCATGGCTTCGAGCTCCCTCGGCAAAGTAGCACGCTGCGGTCGTACCCGAGCCACTGCAGCTTGCAGTCGGCATCGGAGCCTCCACAACAGCGGGTGCTTCCAAATGCATGCAGCCATGCAGTAGCAGCCAAACTGCCTAGTTGTGTCGAAAGCATCCAAATCGACAATCTTGCCCGCTTCAATCTCTAGCCGACATGACGCTCTGAGCTCTGCGAACCACTGAACAAGAGGCTTTCCTTCTCGGCGCCCTGCCAAGAGCTTTTGTAATACCAGGGGATCTTACAATAAAGATCCTACTGCTCAGGGTTCCCATATTGTGGCGTCCCATGGTCTGAATCACTCCCACTTTAAGAACTGTCCTAAAGGCGTAAAAGCCTGAGTAGTCCCTAAACCCTAAACTGAACCTTAAACGCTGAATCGTAACCCCTAAAACCTAAACTTGCAATCCCAGACCCGAAATACCCTAAACCCAAAGCCCTAAAGCTTAAATCCCGGATCCCAAATCCCTGAAGGCCTGAGTAGTCAATCTCTCTGCTGCGGCTCTGCTGTCCTCCACAGCTTCCGCTGCCTCAGCAGAAAGCAAATCGTACCCAGGTCCCTGAAAGGATCCGGATAGCCTCTTAGGGTTTAGGGTTTAGGGCTTAGGGTTTAGGGGTTTAAGGCTTAGGGTTTAGGGTTTAAGGTTTACTTGGGGGTTCAAGGGACCTAGTAACTGGGGTTATAAGTACCCTAAATGGAGCTACAAGCAGCTAGAGGTATAGTTACCTTATTTATATTTATTCCCTGTCTGCTGCCTCCCCAGCCTCCAGCCTTCCCACGACCCGGAACCTCCTGCCTCCCAGCCTCCAGCCTTCCCATAACCCCCCGAATCACTAATCACTTTAGGTGAGCTCGGGTGGGGATAATGATTTTGGTACCCTCGCTATTTCAAGCATTTCGGGGTGAGCTCGGGTGAGGTCGCTATAACTTAGCCAGTTATAACAAGAGTTACTAAGTCCCATGGACCTCTAAGTAGGGTCAGGGTTTAGAACTTAGGGTTTAGGGTTCCTTAAGGGGATTTATAAGGCTTGCCATTTGAATAAGGGTTTGGGTTTGGGGTTTCGGGGTACAGTTCGGGCAGGCGATGAGAATCTCTGATGTTGCAGCTGACAAGCTTCAAAAGTGAGTTGAACCAGGCTTGAAAGGTACAGCTGGAAACCAGCATGTGGGTGGTTCTCCACATTAGGGTCCCATTTAGGGTCCTGTTTATAAGGGTGCCCCGCTATATTTGGGACCTAATTGGGACCTTAATTTAGAGAGCTACCCATCTGAGCAAAACTGGCGAAGTCCGAGGTGCAAGGCGTCCAGAGACTCCACTGGCTCAGTATGCACGAGGGCTTCTTGACCTTGGATGAGAAAGTGCTCACCAACCAGCTACGCATCACCCTTAAACCCTGAACCCTGAAACCTAAACCTCACTTCAACTACGTGTGCACCAACTCAGCAGCCGGAGGGTTTCAGACTAGTGACCGCCGGTAGTGAAATGGAGAATCATCAGACGCTGCAGTTTAGGATTCATCAGAGCCACTGCAGGGTCGACGGACGGTCTAAGCCCAGCATCTCAACGCCTCTTAAACACATCCTGCAGTGCCTCCCTACAGCATGGCATGCTGAACCTAAACCGTTTCAAAGATCTCTCCACAAGGTTTTCCAGAAATGCACCCTTACCGATCCATATGCTCCCAAAGCTGAGCCATTACCACTAAATGTAACACTAGTAAATACTTCTAGAAATTCTAGCTCTCTCTAGCCACCGTGCTATAACTTCAGTGTTTACGCTAACTGAATTTGTGGGTATGCTTCATTTAGAAATATCTCAAATTCCACCCCTGCCATCCACTCTGAAAACAAGAACTGTCGAGCTGAGGCTCATCTTCGCAGGCATCCGTCTCAGCCAAAGCAGTGGCATCTAGCCTGCGAAGATATTTTTACACGACCTTTGGGTTACAGGTCACACGGGTTTAAGCTAAGGATTTAGGGTTTAGGGTTTCGGGCGGTTTAGGGGTTCAGTTACGTTTGATGGTATATATATATATATCTTGCGTTACCCATAAGAAGGAGTATACCCAGAGTTTAGGGTCCTTAAGGTAATGCAGGGTTCATATCATCAACAATAGGGGAAAGTGTAGGTCTTTAGGGTGGTTGTTTGTGTTCAGGGCTGGGGCGTGTGTCGCTCCTCTGCACATGTACACGCTGAAGAGACGGAGGAGCAGCAACAATAAGCTTTCCCTAAACCCTAAACCCTACATCCTAAGCGCCAAACCCTCATCCTTAAACCCTAAACCCGAAACCCTAGACCCACTCACAGCCCACGAAGCCTGTGTAAGAATCACCGGAACCTAAACCCTCAAGCAGCGAAGCAATATAGTAACATATAATATACTATAGTACAACATGATCTCATCAAAACGCTAGGTTTGTGTGTCGAGCTCGGACCACCAACTTGCAAATCCTGCTTGCTGTACAGCGGACTGAACTCCCGAGCGCATTACGCACCACGGCAGTCAATACCCAGAGGCAAAGCAAAGCAACTGTGAAGGTGGTGACCAGTACCACGATCGTGCGGGTGCAGCTGCTGACAACATGCTTCTTGTAGTGCCGTGGATGCTGCTGATCACAACGCTGATGACACCATAATAATACAACTAACGACAGCAAACAACAATGCTAAAAATGAGAATGGTAATCATAATAAAACTTCACTGTGGCTGGTTTACAAGAATAACAGTAACAAACCATAATCGCGGTGATGCTGCACAATAACCACAACACGCAATGAACATGAACAGTGACAAATAGTGAGCAGTAGTAGCAACACATCGCAATCAATGGTATTAGCATCTCTTACACTAGTGGCACTAATAAGATGATACTGACAGTTCTTATAGTACTAAGCACACTCGTTTAAGGAAAATCTTCTAGTGGTGATACTAATTCACCTGTTTACTCCTGTCCCCGCCCCTAATAATAATAGCCATGTTCATCCTGGTCATCATAGAGAAAATAGCAACAGTAACCGCCAGTACTACGAAGGGCTCCGATAGTAGCGACACTAATTATTGATACAAGTTCATGAAGTTGATATTTCCGACGGTAGTGATACTACTTCACCTTGATCCCCTGGCCACCCTTTTACAACACCTCGCAGTAACCCTTGATTACCCGGAATTCACCCTAAACCCTGAGCCCCTGAATCCCCCAACAAACAACCTAAACCCTATAAAGCCCGAAACCTTAGACCCTAAACCCTAAACCCTTATAAACCCTGAACCCTAAACCAAACTTGACCCCTGGCCCCGGAGGCCCGCGGTATATTCTGGTGTGCCAGTTTAGAGTATATGACAGTATCTGTGGGTATATTATGGTATGCTCTAGAATTTTAAGGCATGCTATAGAACATAAAACGCTATATGAATGTAATATTGCTATTGCTACTACTAATAACAATACGAATGTTACCATTATCAATGTTCTTGTTGTTATTGTGATGATGCCTATTATGATTATGATTACTAAGATAGTTCATATTAAGATGTATATATATATATATATATGCACGTACATACATACATACATACATACATACATACATACATACATACATGCACAGATACCGGTCCTGGCCTGAAGTCTCCCTCAGCTGGCTGCAGGACGATGCGATTGCGGAAGCGCTGAAGTGGAAACTGGTCGTCGCAACCTGTCGGGACTCAGTTATAGGGTAATGTGGCCTCATGGTTTTAGGGTTTAGGGTTCAGGGCTTTAGGGTTTTAGGGTTTAGGGGTTTTAGGGTTGTAGAGGTTTCGGGGATTTAGGGAAGCAGGGTTTTAGGGTTAAGGGTCAAAGTGGAGTGCACGGATGTCAGAGGTAGACCTACCAAGATGAGGCTGCCCTCTCCATCTTATGTCTTTGCTAGATAGTTCAGGTCGCATCTTTTCGCCTTTTTGCCTATCCGTGTATTTGCATGAATCAAAAGAAACTGGGCTAACTTTTCCTGCGACTCAAGCCGGCTCAGTGCGATATGAACGTTTGAAGTGGTAACATGTGAGACTGTACAAATCGACTCCGCTTTGGTCTCTGGAAGTCTATGTGTCACAACAGAAACTGCATGGCTGGATCCGTGATCCGCCCTGTGCATATATGCACGACTGTTTATGGAACTTCCTACCGTGCTTTGACACCCAAATGTCCGGCGGACGCTGTGCTGTCTCAGTGCTGGATGTCGCTCTCGTAGTAGACGAGGTAGAGGCCGCCTGAAGACGTAGTTGATCCTGTAGTTGGGATATCTTGGCCTTCTGCTCGAAGAAGAGGGTGTTGACATGACGAAGTTCATCATCCAAGGATCTGTTGTGTGTGCGAAGCTTCAGGTTCTCGCCTTCGATGCCTGCAATATACAACAGGGTAGACTTGTCCTTCTCGATGTCGTCCTCCTCTGTCCATGTGTTCTTGTCGTGAGAAAGCGGCGTCTGCGTGAGCGTCGTAGTAGAGGAGTTTCTGCAGCATCTGTCAATCAAGATGCTCAGTGTTGACGAGGTCACCGCAACCAATACAACAAGCAACAACAGAAGCAAATCTGCCGTAGAGGTAGTAGACGAGGAGGTCGTCGTCAAACTTTGTGCTGTCGCCGGTGTAAACATCATCATTGAGAGACCGAAACCGTACCATCTTTTGGACAAGGCGAAGAGAGCTGCCGGTGATGTCCATGATCTGCCCTTGCGAAGAGCGGCGTCACCCTTGATAAGATCATCTTCATCAGCATCGGTAGTAGGAGGTGGAAGTCGTCGCATCTCCAACGGGTGACCTGTGTTCCAGAAGCGTACACAACCAGATGACAACCAGCTCATAAGACATGGGCTCAGCATAGTCTTTGTCAAGGCATCGGCCGTCATGCACTCCGTAGGCGTGAGGATTAGCCATCTTACGCGACCTTGGGAGCGGGCCTCCCTGTATGCCATGATGTACAGCCGTTGGCTTTTGTCTTGTGGTAGCGTGCGGCTACCGGTGGCGAGCTCGTAGAAGTCCCTGCAGTCGGTGTGAGCGTCGACCGGAAAGTAGACACTGCCACGTTCTTGGATGTCCAACAGCTGCTTCAGACTTGGCCTCGTCGGACCGAAAGTTATCTCAGCCAACCTCGTGCTCACCAGAGTGGCACATTCCAGACCATTGATGCCTGCAAGGGTCTCGCCGTGGCTTGTGCTGTAACTCACACGCTTGGCCTTGTTGGATTGCATGTGCAACAGCTGCGCAATGCCGCTGAGCTTGTACTTCGCAAAGTCGTCGGTCGCCACGAGGTGCTCGGAGGGAATGTCGATGTTGTCCTGCATGAGGAAGACCAAGACACCCTCCTGCGCGTAGTTCTTTGTAGAGGTAGCAGCCGAAGCATCATGAACCACAACAATGCGGTACTTGGTAGGCTGCAGTGCTCTGTAGAAAATGGCTGCATCCTTGTCGGCCTGAGCCCTTGCGATGAGCGCGTTGGCGTCCCGTAGATGCCTCACCTTGGCCTTGTTCATGAAGGACTGCAGAGTGCTCAGCTCGGCCAGTACGTCTGGGCGTGTCAAAGAGGTCCACATGAGACCACCAATGACTGACCGGAGAGCCGTGGTCTCTGTGGCGGTCAAGTCGCGGTCATCATCATCTTTAGCCTCGATCTTGGCAGGCTGGAGCATGGTGACATACTCGGACTGGTCAACCTTGAAACCGTCCTTGACTCGCGTATAGCGACAGCCGCAATGCATGAAGGGCAACGTTTGCCTTGTGAGCTTGCCGAACTTCTCAAGCATCTTGGCATAGGTGTCATCCAACCATTTGCGCTTGCCGCGAGCAGCCAGGTCATCGACGTGAGTTGAGAGACTGGCAACTGGCCATTGTCCGGGTAGCCTTGCTGGCCAGTAGTAGAAACACTCGTCGAAGTGAGAAGGTATCCCACCAAGTTCCCTCAAAAACTGGTGAAGAAACAGCTGCCAAGCCAAAGGTGCTTCAGAAAGTCCATAGACCGGCTTCAGACATAGTAGCACATAGAGATGCCAGCGATCCTCAGGAATGTCAAAGAGCTTGGACAGCTTCTTGAGGTGCCTCCAGACATTCATAGGCGGTATGATAGCGACCAGCCTTTCCACAGTGTGCAGTCCAAG